CAATCAATTCGATTTTCTACGGTAAATTACGCAAAACAGCGAAAGAGAAATGGTGAGAGGTGCTAAAAAAAAATGTTGATAGGCCAGCCAAGCTTCGCATTTGCCGCCTCCTATACTGATTACGGTAGAAAATGGCCTAAATCTCTTAAGACGTGGAAAGTACAAACTTTTGCTTTACTCGGTTTTTAATCTTCAACATCACGTTTTTAGGAAGAATTCGCTCTCACCGATGAAGCGTTTGACATCCTTAAATTCACGCTCGAAGAGAAGATGAACTGCTACAAATTGGTATCCGCTATGATGCATATGGGTAATATGAAATTCAAACAACGACCTCGTGAAGAACAAGCTGAACAGGACGAGACTGAGGGTATGGTAACCACTAACCAGCCCAGTTAAGCATTTATTGTTACGTTTTAAGAGGCCACGCTAGCCGCTGAGATGTACGGTGTTGAAATGGAAGAATTAGTCAAGGCTCTGTTACGTCCCAGAGTTAAAGTTGGAAATGAATGGGTAAACAAGGGACAGAACTTGGAGCAGGTAAATTGGCTTGAGTAGCACTAACCCTGCTGTCCCTTCATTGACTCATTTAGGTGAACTGGGCTATTGGTGCCATGGCTAAAGGTCTTTACTCTCGAATCTTCAACTGGTTGGTTAAAAAATGCAATCAAACTCTTGATCAAAAGGGTATCTCCCGTGATTACTTCATTGGTGTGCTCGATATCGCCGGTTTCGAAATTTTCGATGTGAGAATTTTTTGGAAAATATCTGAGCCTTTATGAAAGGTTTTTTTCATTTCAGTTCAACTCTTTCGAACAACTTTGGATTAACTTTGTAAACGAGAAATTACAACAATTCTTCAACCATCACATGTTCGTATTGGAGCAGGAAGAATACGCTCGTGAGGGTATTCAATGGACATTCATTGACTTCGGTCTCGATCTACAAGCATGTATCGAGCTGATTGAAAAGGTATACCAAACATATTTCATTGTTATCAGAGGAGATTAATGCAATTCTACGAGACCAGTAGTTCGCTACTCGCGCACGCCTTTATCGCTAGCTTATGAGATCTCATGCCATATACTTAAAATTTATAAGGAATCATTCACAAAATATTACGTCCTTCAAAATGCGCAGG